ACTTGTAATAACCTGGACCAATAATACTTGCTATTATATGAAAAATTCATATTGTGGACGGCGCCCTAATGATGCCCACGCCATCTTTTATTGCCAACGGGGTTATATCTTTCATTAATCGTTGATTCCTAATGTGGACACGTATTTAATACGACTTGGGTACTATAAATATAATATGACAATTTTATTTTAGTGTTCACCATTTTCTCTAAGAATCTTAGAAATATTTTAGATGAGTATCAACATTCGTATTGAGATTTCTGTAGTGTTTTGCATAATATTTTGTCGAATATTAAAATACACAAGGGGGGAAGAGAAAATTATAAGTAGTGAGTGAAACGACGGAAAATACAATTATAATACAATAATAATCTGTAAGATAATTTGCATCGCAGAAATATAACAGATTAAAGTAACACATTTTTCATATTTATTTTTTCATAATAAAAATAACATCTCTTGTGAAATGTCATTATCTTGTCTCGTTCTCATTTTATTTTTTTGTTCCATATCCAATAACCTAGTTTCCACTAAGACCACGGTGGAAGTGAAATTGAATTTTCTACTTGTAAAAAACGGTCTGGTAATAGAGTTTACCTTCAGATCAAATAAAATAAGTAACGTACGGGAATCATTGTACTCATTCTAGCAACACTGCTTGGCTCAAGGATTTATATTGTTGTTTTAAAAAAGCGTAGTATTTCTATTATTTATATTTTTAAATAGTTTTTGTTAATAAAAAATACTAAAGAGCGAAACTCAGATTAACATAAATATATCATTATTTGAAATAGTGGAGTCTAACTTCATTATGAACTATTGTGAGAAACACAAACGTAAAATTTTAGTACAATACTATGTAATTTTTGACGTCTAATATATTTAATGTTAAATATTGTGTTTACTATTTGGCCTTTACATAATTATCTGAATAACTTTTGTGGAATTAAAATATGATACATTTTATTTGGTGACAACTTGAAACATAATTTAAATACGTAGGTAATTAAGTGAGTGAAGGGGGAACGTTTAAAAAACTGCAAAACTATTTTACTAATATTTTTATTTACAATATGAAATAGAATTAACATTATTTACACCTTAGGCAAATAAAATTGTCGCCTGTTTTTTCTACACTTAGACAATCTCGATATTGGACGGCTGCCATAATATTTTTAAAATAATAAGTACATACTTCATCCACTCCCATACATTATCACGAAGTCTTTTAAAATGTTATTTTACTTATTTCGTAACACCGGCGTTTATTTGGTTGACCTTTAAGACCCTCGAGCGTGCGTTCGCTACTCACAAACAAAATGATAAATGAGGATCATCAGTAGTTTACGGTTACATAAATGCTGATGGATTGATTATAAACGAATGTGTGTGTGCCCATCTATCGAATAGTCCCCGCTGCCCATAAACGTAACCTTTTGGCCATGTTTGTGGGATATTATCTTTAATGGACTCCAAAAATTTTTAAGTATTAACTTATGATAACTTTTAAATATGCTGTCCTGATTCCTTAAAGTATAAAAGCCGACTCAGTTTTTTAACTTCCACTATCCATTTAAAGTCCCGTTGTAAGAGTCAAACGAGAAAAGCTTTTGTAGATTGTGTACAATCCAATTCTAACTTAGATTTCGTTTTCTACGAATCATTTTTCTTCTTAGTTAAATGGCGTTTTTAGTCAAATACCGAAGATTAATTAAATAATATTCAATAAACTTTGTTTGATTAACAATGGAGTGCCTAATCTGTGGCGGCATCTAACACAAATACGAACAACTCGTCGGAACTGATTTCAATCATCGTCATTCATTTATTCACTAACTTCCTTTGCATTTTGCCGAAGTGTATTCGCCCGCTTTTGTTTTGTTTAACTTTTTTTCATATTTCAAACTCTTTGGAACGAAACTCGTGCGATACAAGACTTGTAATAATTGAATCGACTAAGTTTTCTGTTCAAGAATTTATAAAATTCGTTTTCCAATTATTTTGCATTTTGACGAGTTTGGATGACTTTTTAAAAGAATAAAGTTAGAAATTTCAAGGCGAAATGATAAAAAATATATATGAACATCATTACCCCCGCTCGTGATAATTTTTATAAAATTATAACAAATTTATCCATAACGTGATTTTTATATTCGGTAAGAAAATTGAGCTTCCTAATGATAATGCATTAACGTTTTTTTGTTATCATTAGCTGACGTCACGAAAAGCGCTTCTGTTGTATCGTGATCAAAAAAATAAATTGGTGTGAAAAAATGTAATGATTACATCTAAATAATATGGTGCGCGGACTTGTTTTTTGATGACTCGAATGAGATTGGCCGATCATTAACCGCAAAGATAACCATATAGTTTTTTTACTACATTTCCTTCTAGTTTTATAGTAATACAGTAGAAGTACAAAAAATCATATTAAACAACAATACTTGGAGTGTCCTTTATTATTGCTATTTTTGTATATACAATGATACCCGCCGTATTAAACTTATTGCTTTAAGTATAATAACATTTAAATAACCCTTTTTATGGCTTTTTTCTATCCGATAACACTAAAAGTAATGGGACATTTTCAACTATCAGAACAGATACAAGGTCCATTAAAAGATATTTCTTGCTAAAATGTAACTATAAAATGCTACACTTATCTTTCAATTTTAATGCGACTAAAGCTACAAGTCCACAGGGGCTTTAATGTTTAATTTAGCTAATCCTAAGTTTATTATTGAAGTAAAGACATTTAATTAAAGTATTATAAATATCTCTCAGCGAGGTTAATGACTTTTTATTTTAAAAAGTGTATTTAAATTAAAATTAAAATGCATTTTTTTTTTATTCACTACAAATTACTCGTACTGTAATTATGCCTTCGCAAAAACTCTGAAAAACAGGCAAAAAGTTTAAAAACTTGTCCAATCATCGTGACCTTTTTTTAAAGAGCCCTTCGTCAAGTCACCACGAAAGATTTGACATGTTCGTGCCACTGTATGCTTACAAAGATTATCTCTTTTGCCATATCATGCAATTAAAACGGTCCTTCGACAGACAGAAAGCAAAGCCCGTCACTTTTATCAAATACATTAACTGGGCCCGCCGACGTTCCGTTCTCTGTTTTTAATTCATATAATCTCATCTTCGACTTAGATAACGTGTAATGCATTGGCTTCTGAGGAATCATTAAAAGGCCATTTTTATATTTACTCCAATTATTACAGCCCGATGGAACGCTAATTAAGAATTCGAATGTTCATTACAAGTCAGAAAAGGTTTCGGTACCGCGTATATATCATTACAAAAAACCGGGTCGATTGCATGTCGAATTACAGGCAAAAAGTTTTGTATCCTTTGTGTTGGAGATTTAATTTATTTTTGGCCTTTCTGACAAAAGCGCCATTAGTTTTATTGACTTTAAAAATTTAAATAAAGTTTTTAGTAATATATAAAAAACAATTTTAAATATTTTGTTACTAAAACTTTTTTATACTGAAAGATACATTCGAAAAAATCTTTACACCTTATGGCGTATTTAAAGATCTGGTTTGCTCATGAATAGGGCCGAAGACCTTAGGACTAGGTAGTTTTATGATGGAATGAATCTTCATCATTCTGAGCTGGATAAAACCGCAAAATGGAGCTAAAGGCTAAGTTTTAGTAGCATTTTGCGGTCAGGACCGCTTCTAGCGGCGAAAATTATATCTCAGACGAGACTGTTACTCAAGTTTATTGCCGTCTGGGTGTAGTTACTCTTCACAATAATATATCAATTCTGCATACAATGCAATAATTAGATTAATCAAATTAATTCCTATAAATGTAGTGTACTGTAGGATTAGTAATATAATTAAACCTATTTGTTACTTATCATTCTTGCTTAATGACTTGAGAGAAATCTCAAAACTTGATTCATTTTCCATGTAGTTTATGCTTTATAATTTTAAGAGTATATTTGAAAAGTATTTTTTTTTTGTATAAAACTAACATTATCTACAGTATTCAGATAATTTATCGTTTTTGGAATTATATAATTTTTTTACTTTTGTGTCATCCCAAAATCCATATTAATTTTTTTCTTTTTTATTCACAGTTGCAACACCTCGACCTAGTGGGGAGTCATCGTGTTTTGCAAGGCCCTGACTGTTTTATGGTAAGCTTTTTTTTTACATTTGATTTGTTTGAAATTAATGATTGTAAAATATTATTATTTGCTTATGATTTCTTTGGTTACTTTTTAAATATGATATAATAAAAATATTTGAAATATCAACCAGTACACCACCAGTAATAAAACCAGTACAAAAAGTAAGGAAGAAGATACTAGGTGACAGGACATTTTGTCAATACCAGTAATTAATTAATAAGCGGTTCACGCCTTTCTCATAATTATGAGAGCTTAGTCAGTCGAGAGTGGGCGTCAAGTTAACGTCAACTCCAACTAATGAGTGTTCCAAATGACAAATGCTGGATTTTAGTTTGGCTATCCGAAAGTATTTGTTTCGATGAGTCAGGGACAGATTCCTTTGATTATCCTTGTTATTCATGTAACTTTAATGGATGTTATTATTCAAAACCTGTGTACAAGTAATTTTATTGAAAATTTTTTTTTTGTGACTGAAATACAAGTTGCCTTAAAATAATATTATTAAAAAATAGTTTACTGAAAAATAATGCAATAAATAAATATGTCTTTAATGCATTTATTGCCTGTTTTTCTTTATAATTAAAAATTAATTCTAAATATATTGTTACAGTGTTGGGAAAATTGCGAGCTTCTACAATCTAACTATCAAGTCCTGGGGCGCTGTTTGTGATGAGAAAGATATTTGTGTAAGTATAATCCCTAAGAAATCATATTTTATTTAATGTACTCAAATTAATCAGTCTCTTTTTACAGTTTCCGGGATGCAAAGTTGCTTGTGAATTCCACACGGAAGCTGCCAGATCTTCCCAAACCCAACCCGTAATTCATACAAAAGGCGAAGGGCGTCATGAGACTCAGCGGGGGTTTGGCCCGATGGCCACCGCCGGCACCGCGAGCGGTCTCTCAGCCGACTCCTCTGGTTTATGTAGTAATGCGACGGGCAGCAGAAGGGCCTTGGCGACAATTATACAAACCCAAGCTCTCGCTACAAGGGTACCATCAAACAATTGAAGGTGCTCTTCTTCGCGTACTCGTTGTTTGATCCTCAAGGTCTTGTCACAATATACAGCCCGGATGAAACATGGCTAGCTCATGATACCAACACATCAAAATCCGATGAACATAAGATGGACGCTGAAAGAAATATCTCTTATACATCAAAAGGTTCTTGTCATTGGAGAAATTGCTTGGGAACCTCGAATTGCACGTGGAGTATACCTAGTAACTTGGGAGGTGGATGTGGAGGCTTAAAAGGAAATCTATTTACTGATTCCACACGCGTTACTTTATCCTTATGGCCAGATACAATTTACCATATTCAAGTTGAACTTGTGTCTAGAACACTGGGAGTAGATAATGAGAAGTCCGAAAACTATGAACAATTGATACAAGTCGTGCACAGCGTGTTTTCTACGGAAAGCGTTCAGGATGTTGAAGTAAGTGAAGGCGATCGTCTTATGTCAGTACTAGTTAGCTCAATGAGAGGCGAACGCGTACCGGAACGTGCCCCCCGATTCTGAATTAGTATTAGGCTGTTTTGTCAGCTATGATAGCTTTTTTGGATTAGCGGTGCTTGTTGCGATCGTTTGGAGGGCGAAGGACGACGGGGTACTTTTCCTGGAACGAATGTATATGTTGGTTCTTCTTCTGTTCTTAAACGAAAGTTAGTTGAAGATTTTGTTCCAGCGCAACAACATTGCTTTCAGCCTGTCCTTGCTCCTGCAACTCCATGCAATGGGACAGCACCGAGGGATGTAGTTGTGTGTGACGTCATAGCTTTGACATGCTGTCATTTGAAGACCGCGTTTTTCAGTTCCTAAAGTTGTTGGACGACATTTTCTCGAATACTGATGAATGTTTCATACGCAGAAAGTGTAGTTGAAACGGGATTTTAGAATGTGATAAAATTAAATAAGACGAGCCAGTGATTAAAGTTTATCGAAGAACAAATTTATTTATAATTTTTCTTCTGTGTAATCGGGTGACAAACTTTTAAAATCTTTGTATATGCTATAATGAAAATACCTATAATATGATTTTGTTTTGTAGTTTTAGGGGAATTGTAAATTAAACTGATGTACTTATAAGAGTATTTATGAAATCACGGTAAGATTAACACCAGAAAACTTAGCATTGTAAATATTACCGAAAACAAGGTAACCATAACTTCTTAAAAATTAATCAATTCATATATTTTGTAATATGAAATGTTTTAAGTAATAAAAAATAAAAGCTTATGATAAGGTCTTTTAAACAATTACATGATGTATCTTCCAATAAAATATACGTAGCAGTTGATTTAAATTCAATTATAAAATATAGAAGATAATGTTGCAGGTGTTCTTTGACATTTAAGTTTTGAAGGAAACATCATAAATCATCTAATTAAATAATAAAATATGTTTACAAACTAGTCCTATCATTTAGTATATATAGTCCTTAGCCATTATATTTTAATGTTATTGAGAATCTTACTTATTCTAGGAACTTCGACTTCTTCAGCAATAAAATTACGTGTATGTATTTGTAAATATATGAAGCATTTATTGTAAAAAAACTGGACAGAGAAATTATATTTTTCTTGAACTTAAACAGATATTTTCTAAATGTTACGGTGTTAATAAATTATTATCGGCATTTTTATTCAAATTATACGTGGACTTGGTTTAAAATTAGATATTAGTCATTCATTCATAATGTTATCTCGTATTGTTAAAACATGTTGTAGTCAAGTTTGTTTGAAGTTGATGTTAGCTTTAAACATTGTACTTAAAACTTTAGTTTGTTGTAGACGAAAACGTAAAAACGCCAAAATTATTTTGTGCTCTTAACAAATGTATTTTGGTTTTGATGACCAAATTTAATTAGAATAAATTAGGTGCTTAGTTAAATTTATTTATTTTTGTGATTAATTTCCATAACTTCCCTTGAATATGTACATATATTACTTGCTATATTGATGCAGCTAAACTTTAACGAGTATTGAATAAATATTGTCTGCCAAATGATACTTTGTTTTTATTTAATATGAAACAATTATTTTACTGCCGGCAGTGAGAACACATTTAGCATTTATGTTTAATGTACAAACATGCCGAGTTATTTAGGGATTAAACAGCTCTACTGAAAACAAAAAATCAAGAAAGCTTTCATTAAATAAATATAAAACTTTAAGCTTAAATGTCATACAAAAGAACCATTGATGCCATTGATGCATTTTGGTTTCGGTTCAAAATAAAACGGAACTATTGTCTAGGGATTAACGTCAACGAAATTTTTGTCAATGATTAAATAAAAAAAACTGCCACGTCACGTACCCCTTAAAATGTCATTTTCAAATATTGTGATCGAGTCTCTAATTGCTTTTTAGTCCTTTCTTAAAGTCGAATGTCTAAAACTCGTTAAAATGGAGAATTTCATTAGGCTAATCTGGTTGAAAGCAAACTAACTACGTGACAATTATAAAAGGGATATTCCGACATTGAAATTTAAAGGAGATTCAATGTTAAATTACACTTAAAATGGAACACAGCGATAGAATTTGATCAATAATAGTCTATTTAGTCTGTTCGTCGTAAATCAGACCATTAAGATAAGATATGGACTTTTTTAGTATTTTTTGGTCATTAAAAAAAAAAAAAAAAAAAACCAAATTCAAATATTTAAATTTATATTTGTCTTTGATATTAACATCGTAGATAGTACTCATTAGCATGAGTTTTTGTCACAAGTTGTATTAGTAAATACTGATTTCAGTAGAGTTTTGGGCCGAGATTCTTTTTTATTATACGCGCTTATAAATAACAGGAAAAAAATAGAAGTCGAAAGCTTCAACGGGAATCCTTTTGGGCACAGGAAGAGCATTCTTTTGAGATTTATTACTGAAACTTGGGCACATTACTTATTCCTTATGTGCGTCATGGTCGATAGTCTTAAATTTGGTCATTTTTATTCCGTGTGCTTCTTAACTTTTTTATTAGGAAAGTTCCACATTGAGGAATTCGATTTGTACTAAATTTGTAATTCTATTCATAAATAGTATTTTCGATAAACTTGATATTTCTGAGTTGCCCACTATATATAACTACATGAATGAATCAAACAAATATATTTTGGGAGAAACAAAATCAAATGAAACATATAGTATTCCAATAAATACTAACTTGAATGTATAAAATTCACCATGGTTCTTATCATACAAAATTTTTTGCAGGAATAAAAATGGTTTTTAACAAAATGCTTCTAACGTTTTATGTAGATTTTAAATTGTTACATACCATTTTCTACTTATAATTACTAAAAAACTCATTAAAAATGCCATCTTAATCTTAACATTTCCTTATGTTGCTAAAGTAAAATTTTTTCCAATTTAATTTCTAGACTAGAATGTACACAAGAACAATCCATTTAAGTAATAATGTGTGCTTAAGGCTGACGTCATCTTAACTTAGATGTGGAACGGAAATTCACGTTACGCAATTACTTCAAGAAATAGCAAGTGTCAACTATATTCGAGTGACAAGTCATTTAAAAGTTAAAAACGCCAAGATTCTATAAAGGTTTAGAGTAAGAGAGTTGTCAGAACGAAGCTGGAGGCGAACTGATCATACAATTATTATTTTATATGTAATAATTGTTATTTCTGTTATAGTTTTTGTTATTTAAGGTTTTTTTAGAGGTAATAAATATAAACTTACAATCATTACCTTGGATGAAAACAATAGAATTAAGTAAATAAATCTATGTAAGTAAATGAAATTTCTAACCGAATAAATTTTTGAAATGCAATGAAATACGTGACGTTTTAATTAACAGAAACTAGGAAGTAATGAAATTTGAAAAAATCAAAATCATGTAGTTTTACTTAAATATTAATGTTTTAGTTAATGTTATTTAATTTATCTCCCACAACATAGTTGCTTAAGTGAAATTAGGTTGTGTTTATGAATGTGGTAATAACTAGGATAATATTTCACAGTTTTAGCTACGAGTATAAATTTTAAAGCCGAAGTAAAATCATGCTAACTATTTTTTACGACCATTTATTTTATATACATACATAGTAGGTATATATTGTTTTAAAAATATAAAATTTAACTCTCAGATATTTTACATATATACGAGTACAACAAAACACTTTGATTAAAAACTTGAAAAGCATGGGAACTTTTAGTGCAAAAAACTAAACAATGTTGTACATTGGCGTACCTAATTACTTTCACGATGTTTAATTTAATCCATGCTATCAAGTAAGAAGCGGATTCCCCCGAGGGAGCCATGCGCCGGCGCAGGTAATAGCCGGCTGTCAGCGTGTGGGCGATCGCTAAACATCACCTTGTAAATACTGGTAAATATTTGTCTTCATGTAATTACTGTAATTGTTCACTTCGCGTTCTTTGAGACGTTGATGCGTGGGCCGTCTGAAATATTTATTGAATGAAAAGAGATTACCTTAGTCTTTTGGCTGAGTGTATTTGAAAATACGTGTTACTTTTCGGCGTTTAATCAAATAATAGCATCTAATGGTATAATATCATACGAAGGTTTGAGATAAAAATCGAATTTGATTTATAACATGACATTTTATAAGTAGGAGTATTAATCGGTATAACTATTTCTTTCACCATTTGTTTTAAACCAAAATTTAAATTCGATTTGACAAGAAAATAAAATATTTAGATTAATATTTCAAGATGTGATAACAAATATTTTTCAGAAAAAAATTGTTTATAAAAAATAAATACATCCATCCATACAAAAATACATACATCCTGTCAATCTGATACCATGTGTGTATTAGAATTTCAAGGACTTTTTTATTTTTGCTCGAGAAAGTAAAAAAATGTAATGTATAGCTTACTTGTAATGAATCTGTATTTATATTAAGGTGAAACCGGTTTCCTTGCTACTATCAATCAATTCTTGAAAGCGATTATCAGGCGCATTGCAATGTAAGCATCGATATCAAATTATATGAGATACGGATCTTCGAAGCGGGACAAGTTCTTTTTTTAAGAATGCTGCAACTTATTTTCTCTTAAAGTCATAAAATTATATTTTATTGTTGAGATAAAGAACTATTTCTTTTTAATTAATATGTTTTTACTTAGAATTGATTGTACTGTTGCCCCAATGATTAAGACAAATCGTTTTAGAGGAAGCGAGAACAATGAACTTTATTTTTGAGATTTAAGCAACCTGTATATAAGAAATTATGAAATAAAAGATACCTATTTTGATAACTGCAAAGTACAGTAGATTAATAAAAAAAAAATCGTTGCTATGACTGATCATCTGTCAGATACCGGGATTGAAAACACTGCAGCTTAACAATAGATTTTTTTTCAAATCCATTGTAATAGCTAAGCTCCGTCAGATGACAAAGGAGAAAGATTAATTGAAACAGAAACATTTTTTTGACAACTATGTAAACGAAAACAGTGCACCAGCTTAATTGTTGGTTTATTTTTACAGTATAATTTTGCAAATTTTACAGTACAATTTTTTAAGATAGGAATAA